AGGGTGCCAGTGCGCCACAGCGGACGGCCCAGCATGCCAGTGCTGCTCCCTCCCGTACGTCTGACTGGAGCCAGTCACTGCGGGTCACTGGCGTCTAATCTGTCACTGAGGGCATCTGGCTCCTGCCGCAGAGAAGCACATCAGCAGATGGCTCTCTCTATGAACTGGCAGTAACACACAGAGAGAGAGAGAGAGAGAGAGAGAGAGAGATTGGGTGGGCGTATTTTGTCACAAATACAAATAAAGACAAAAAAGACAAAAATTTAATATGGCGATGATATCCGTATACTGCAGTTTAATATTTTCTGCAGTCAGAGAAATTACTTTTCAATTGTTTGAATTCAAGGTCATTCATTAAAAAATTTATTAGTGCTGGGCAATGATTAGTTGCGATTAATCGCATCCAAAATAAAAGATTTGTGTACATAATATATGTGTTTGTACTGTGTATATTTATTATGCATGTATATATTTAAGAAAAATATGTTAGATTTATATATTAATATATTGAAATATAATATAAATTATATGAATATAAATATACATGTAAATACATGCAAATATTTTCTAAATGACAGGGAGATCCCTCACAGAAGTCACTGTGACACTAACAGGCTGCCAAAGTGACAGTGAAATGATTACGGTCAGGCCTGAGGGCTTCACGATAGTTCACAGAAAGCAAGTCTTTTACTGAACAGAAGGATAAATGTGTATTGCTGAACATTTATCTGTCTCTGTGGGAGATTGATTACTGTGGCTTAAAAGGTGAGAGGTTTTTATTTGATTTTGCAATACGTGTTGCTCTGTTTTGTTCGGTGAATATCTAATATCATCTGTTCCTTTGTAAATACATAAACTGTATTTAAATACATAAACACAAACAAGGGCAGTTCACATGACATGTCACATCATGTGTCCTGTACTGTACACTTTCTCTTCATTTTTAATGCTTTTTAAGCAGTCTTGTGACCTCATAGTAAGGCGCGTCACACAAATGTATTCATCCTCCTTTCAAAAAAATCAATATTACTTGAGGTAATGGATGTCAAACCTGCTGTGACGCATTTTGGCCAGAAGTATAAAAAAATCTGCAAAATAACTGAGGTGAGGTGAATATATATATATACAGTACATATATACACACACCAGTTTTAGTATCTAAAAATAATTATTACAAATAAAATTCATATAATTTAACATAATAATACACTTTAACCTAGATTAATGATGTTGAAAAAAATGAATGCATTATGTGAAATCTCTTGCTGTTTGGCATACTTGTCTGGAAATATGCAGTATGCATACCTGGAAATGACACTCCCCCCATATTAATTCTGCAGATTTCTTCTTCCTAATGCAGCTGCTGCATCTGATGGCCCATCAACAACTACTTTTTCCAAGAACTCTTTCTGTCTTTCAGCATTTCTCTATCCCTCTCCATCTCTCCACCACCCTGACTATTGATTCATCCAATTCAGAGAGGAATTTACCACACTATGGTGTGACTTTCCCATTTTCAAGTCTCAAATCAGATCCCAGTTCAACACACTGTTATGACAGAAACTAAGAAAGCAGACATCTGTCACAAAAACAGATGACGTGGATGTTTTACCCTTTGCATTTTGGTCTGAACGAATAGGAAACATTACTCATTTAGCAGAAAAGAGGATATCTGAGAAACTGTTTGACAGCTCAGATCGCCAAATGTTTCTAATACACAACAGCAAAGCAATCTGGAAATTTCAATAGAGCACAAACTAGAAATATGCTTTTCTCTGTTGTACAAACTGTATAAAAGGCATTGTGGACATCAGTCAAACAAAAGCAGTAACTTCTATAAAAACCACTTAACATATTTTATATCCAGATATTTTTATTATTAGCATTGACATAGGTAACATTTAGAGAAAAAAAATGCTTTGGTAATACATCATACAGACGAATGCTAGCATACACACACACTTGCACAAACAAATGTATAAATTAATTAGTGATCGTCTGTCAAACAGTCCAGTGCTTTTAAACATGCAAACACAACAAAACTATAAAACAAAAGCTCTGATTTGGAGATCACTATGATGTATTAGCTTCATTTGGAGCATGTCAGAAAAATAAATCAGAAGTCAGCAATTTTAATCTTATTTAGAATGTACAAAGCGAGCTAGAATAAAATAAGCCAAAAAAAAGCTTGAATCTTACAGCTGGACTGTAACAAATGTAGTTTTTCATTGCTGTCCAAAAATTGCATTCACTGCTGTTCATTTGCATTTTTATGCATTTCAAAGTGCTGTTATCTTGCATTTCCATATGTATTCTTACACAGTATCTATACAGCATTGACTGCATACAGCGTTCTCACTTAATGTACAGAAGTTTTGCACAACGTCAGCTTTGCACTAATATGGCAACTCAGAAAAATGGGTCACATACCCCTTAATCTAGAAATTGCCTCATAAAAATACTCACTAATGTTCACACAAATAAATCACAAAAACCCTATTAAACAAATAACCCTCAAAATAAACACTGTAATTGTAATCAAACTTTCATATATTTTTTCAGTTTGTTCCACAAATCCAACTCTTGGCTCTAATCCAAAATGCTTGTGTTTATGTAGATTATATGGGATTTCTGGGTAATTCTCCATTACTATATGATATGAGCCATAAAGAGATAACTTGATTTGTGAGAATTTTATAAAAAATATGAATAAAATATACCATTCAAAAGTTTGGGGTCTGTAAAATGTTTTAATGTCTTTGAAAAAAGGAGTCTTATGCTTACCAAGGCTGTTTCTATTTAATAATAATAATAAAAACTGTAAAAACAGTAAATTTACAATTTAAAATACATATTTTAATATATTTTAAAATATAATTTATTCCTGTGGTGCAAAGTTAATTTTCAGCATCATTACTCCAGTCTTCAGTGTCACATGATCCTTCAGAAATCAATCTAATATGCTGATTTGATGTTCAAGAAACATGTCTTATTATCATCAACGTTGAAAACAAAACAGTTGTGCTGCTTAATATTTTTGTGGAAACCGTGCTAACTTTTCAGAATTTTTTGATGAATAGAAAGTTCCAAAAAACAGAATTTATTTGATAAAAAAAAAAAAAACTTACTGCCCCCAAGCTTTTGATTAGTATTGTAAAACTGGGTTTTTGACACTGAATTATTATTATTTTTTGTTTACCTCAACAAGACGGTACTAAAGAGATGCACAAAAATGGAAATTAAAATTGATCAGCAAAAATATGACACTAAAACACAAAACACTTACAATAAGAAATGCTTTTGATAAGTCAAAAAATATCTAGGCTACATCTTTCAAATCTTTTTCAGAGTCAGTATATGTGATTGACTAGGCTGTTATAATAGAAATAAATCTTTTTTTGTTGTTTGATTGTGAATGTTGCTGCAGTAGTAAACACGGATCAGCTGATAAGAACAGTCACAGCCCCACTAGGGACCCCGGGCCAATCCCACATTATTCAAGTCTTGAGGAGTCAACAGTCTGATCATCGCTGAGAAGCCTGTCCTTCTGATGCCAAACTAATTTAAATATTGATTACAAAATGCCAGAATCAAAACAAAATAAACCGAAAACAAACATACAAACACTATAATTTATTAAACTGAAATGAATTCCATTGTCAACAGATTCTGTTGCAGGTTTTGGCTTCAAGGCATCATTGCTTTATGATACGTTATAGTTTATGAAAGCTTTTTGGCATTTAATTATTATTTTCTGTGTGTGTGTGTAAACAGAATGATAAAGAGGTTTCATGGGATGGGTGCCTGCAGCCAATTTCGCAAAATGTGCCAAGGAAATTATGTATTTCAAATCAATGATTTGCTTATTTAAACTCGGAAATACACGGACAAGGCTACGGAGAGCTATTCCTGGATTGTTTTCATTTGCTAAGCAGTTTTACATGTTACACAACATCTGTTAAAATAGACAGAAAGCTAAAATAGAACTTCAGAGCTATTGCATTTTAATTGATATTAAAGGGGTCATATCATACATTTCACATTTTTCCCTGAGGTCAATTAATGATGTTAGTCAAGGTTTCTTACAGCTCAAAACAGGTTTTATGTCCTCAAATATTTTAAGGATTGTCATAAAACAAGTCCAGCTGAAATGAGCTGCACAAACTCACTGATGTGATCAGGGTCCTTGATAAAAAATAAAGTATTAAAACACAGCCAAGCACAACTTTCGATGGATATTCTTCATATCTCACTCTACTGGGAGAATTAGTTGACAATGAAAATGAATTACTGATGTATAAATGTGGACGTGTTAAATGTATTTTGGGTCTTATGTTCAAGATTCAACAGATTATCTTTTAAGATTGACGAGCAAGTTATTAAATGTCTGTATTTCAAATGATATAACCCCTTTAAATTTACGCAACATATATCCCATAAAGGAATAGTTCACACAAAAAAGAAAATTAGCTGAAAAGTGACACGAATAGAAGAGAAATGTAGCATTGCATACTTGCTCTCCACTAGATCCTCTGCAGTGAATGGGTGCCGTCAGAATGAGAGTCCAAACAGCTGATAAAAACATCACAATAATGACTCCACACCACAAGACTCCAGTTCATCGATTAACATCTTATGTAGCAAAAACCAACATGTTTGTAATAAACAAAAGTTTATAACTTCAAATAGTTGCTTCTGGCTAAAATATGAGTTCTCTACTATTGCTTTTTCCAGTAAAAAAACAGAAAAAGGATGTGCTCTGAATCAAGAGAGAAATTTTACATTTTACAGGCCAAAAGAGTTTTAAATAAATATATTGGTGGATTTTAAAGTGAGAGGACTGTGATTTTTATCAACTATTTGGACTCTCATTCTGACGGCACCCATTCACTGCAGAGGATCAGGTGGTGTGCAAGTGATGTAATGCTAAATTTCTCCAAATCTGTTCTGACAAAGAAACAAACTGATCTACATTTTGGATGACCTGAAGGAAAGTACATTTTAAGTTAATTTTCATTTTCGGGTGAACTATTGCTTTCACAAACAGGCCTTCATGTGCTTTGAGTACTTGTACATGTCCAAATGATGAGAAGAATTACAAGAAGAATAACTACAGCATCACTTTAAACAATTTGTGCTACACTGGTTGTCCAACCATGAAAAGGTACTGGTAGCGAAAGTGTCCTTGTTAAAGTAAAATATCAGGAAAAAAACAGGCTTCTCCAGCTGTTTACTTCCAATATCCATTCTTAGTGTTTTCCCCTAGAAAGATCACGCACGCAACATGACATGACTGTCAGTGAGGGGCGTGTCCTAGTTCCACATTCCTTTGCAAGACACGCCCACTTATCAATTCTCTTTTCTTTTTATGCAATCCGTGACCCCCGTCACTTCTAATTCCACTGTATTAGTATTGGTTTGGCCTGACTGCATGAGCTCAACCATTGTAGTAGGCCACAAGAGAAACAGCAGGTCTGTTGGTGCCCTGGCCCACAGCAGGAGACGGTTTCTCACCATCTGAGGAACTTTTCTGCCCGCCGCTGTTAGGAGCAAAGATAGTGGGGTGGCCAGCTGAGGCCACCGCGAAGGTCACATTCTGACCATTGGCGCGTCGCACTGTCCTGAGAGTTTTGGTGACTTTGGAGGAGTTTTTGAAGCTGGAGCCTCTCTCTGGGGTGGTGCACATGACGAGAGCATGGAAACATCTGCAAAACTGACACACAGAGACAGATTGAGAGAGCTGGGGTTATATTTCTAATGCTTAAAATGGATAGCTGACTCACAAATGAACATTCTGTTAGAATTTACTCACGCTTATGTAGTTCCAAACCTGAATGACTTTCTTTCTTCTGTGGGAACACAAAAGAAGATATTTTGAAAAATGTCTTACTGTTTTTGTTTAAACAAGTAAAGTCAAAGTTGTTTTGGACTCCAATGACTTTAAGTGTATGGACAAAACATCTGAAATTTTATTTAAAATATCTTCTTTTGTTTTCCACAGAAAAAAAGTCAGTCATTCAGGTTTGGAACAACATGAGGTTCTTCTTTAAGAAAAAGTCAAGTCAAGCCAAATTTATTTCACAACACTGCAAAAAAAATTAAAAATAAAACAAAATCTTACAGTAAATCAAAATATTTACTTAAGAAAAAATTCTTTAAAAACATTAAAATGAAGTGAGTTTAGGCTTAAAACAAGAACAAATATCTGCCATGGAGTAAGACAAATTAACTTAATTAAAAGAGAAAAACAAGATAATTTTTCTGACCTCATTGGGAGATATTTTTTCTTGTTTTAAGCAAAAAACCTATTTAATATTGATAAATTTAGGAAACAACACATAATATCATGTCATTTTGCATCTCAAATGTATCTTGATTTAAGAATGTTTAGCTATACAGAAAAACAAGGCAAAAATACGAAAGAAAGAAAGTTTATAATACCTTAATATCTTCATGCCTTATAGTCCATTTAGCAGATTAGAACTGGCGAAAATATAATTTCCATTTTACGACGACACAATCAAACAAATTATATTTGCTATATTGTATATATTGCCTTACTTGAATATAAGTATAAGGATGGATAGATAGATAGATAGATAGATAGATAGATAGATAGATTCTCCCTTGCTTTGCTGGATTTGCAACTGTGCAGACAGAATAATAAAGCACCAGCCAAACGTGGGAATCATCAGCTCTGGAACAACAGCTGATGCTCCGTCTCCTCTAATGTGGACAGGCCTGTTTGCAAATTGAAAGCTCTACGTGCAGAAAATTCATTAACTGAGGCAGGACCTCTCAGCAGGAGCGTAGGCAGTGATTATCTGAGAGTGATGGAGATGCTTGTTTGAAGGTGCCAATGCCTCACGGACCGTCTGTGTATATACCTCTACATTCCCCCGCATGCGATCACACGCTCAGAGGAAACAGCTTGCAGGCTTTGACCATCAGGTCACCACAGATGGAAACAAAGTGGGCTGATTTAAGCTGAGAAAAACAACTCGCAGGAGATACTCAGAAAAAAAAAATCTAAAGGAACACACTGTGGTCCAAAGTAAGCTCTGTGTTCTTGCGCTGCACTTTTCATTATAGATAAAGGTTTATTGTAATTAATCATAACTGTCTGCGAAGATCTCAGAGGAGTAAAGCACATTTTCAGATAGGTGGTGTTTTGTCGATATGAGAGGGATTTATCCTCACAAAACAACCTTCACCATGAAATTTTGATAGATTCAGCCAGCCTAAACTTTGAAGAGAGTTTTATGAATACTGAAATGCAGAGGTGCAAGTGTTTGCCCTAAAAGTTCAGAAACTCAATTTCTGTAACAGAAACTCTGGTTTTAACCTTAATGACCAAGCAATATATTTTGCTCCAAGCAAAACCATTTACAGCAGAATGAAATAAGGAAATTTTTGTGTGGCCTTGGCTCAATGCCACCATCAGATTGCAACAATATTTCATGCAAGTGTTGAGTAAATGAATGGCTAGTCATGAATTGTTCCCTCAGAAGGGGAGTGTAACTAATACAACCTTCAAAACTCTCCCTGTTTTGGGAACAGTGACTGAAATCACATTGAAAACAGATTCAAAAATTTTATTTCAATCTGGAAATAAAGTTTAGGGCTTTTGAAAAACACAGAAACATTATGACATAAAATCAACAAGAAAGATGTAATTTGTAGGTCATTAAAATTATAATATTATTCAATTAAAACATTAATATCAATGAAAATATATATTATTAAATTAAAACATTATTATATATATATATATATATATATACACACAAACATACATACAAACACACACACACACGAAACATCATTTAAAAAAATTCAATCCACAAAACACAGAGTAAGATTTCACCCCTTGAGAAAACGTAGTATACTTAGTATACGTCCATGTTCACTGTATACTTATAGTCTACTACATTTCCTCAGAAGATGCCAAAAACCGCAGAACCATCATGTTTTGTCAGTTCAGTTTCTTTGTATATCGTATACAAGAAATATTGCTGTATTAAAAGATAAATGCTTTTTTGACACTCAATTATCAGTGCTTATGAAACAGAGGGAAAACAAGAGAGACAGAAAGAGACAGACGACTGAAGGGGTTTGACCAAGCAATATATTTTGCTCCAAGCAAAACCATTTACAGCAGAATGAAATAAGGAAATTTTTGTGTGGCCTTGGCTCAATGCCACCATCAGATTGCAACAATATTTCATGCAAGTGTTGAGTAAATGAATGGCTAGTCATGAATTGTTCCCTCAGAAGGGGAGTGTAACTAATACAACCTTCAAAACTCTCCCTGTTTTGGGAACAGTGACTGAAATCACATTGAAAACAGATTCAAAAATGTTATTTCAATCTGGAAATAAAGTTTAGGGCTTTTGAAAAACACAGAAACATTATGACATAAAATCAACAAGAAAGATGTAATTTGTAGGTCATTAAAATTATAATATTATTCAATTAAAACATTAATATCAATGAAAATATATATTATTAAATTAAAACATTATTACATATATATATATATATACACACAAACATACATACAAACACACACACACACGAAACATCATTTAAAAAAATTCAATCCACAAAACACAGAGTAAGATTTCACCCCTTGAGAAAACGTAGTATACTTAGTATACGTCCATGTTCACTGTATACTTATAGTCTACTACATTTCCTCAGAAGATGCCAAAAACCGCAGAACCATCATGTTTTGTCAGTTCAGTTTCTTTGTATATCGTATACAAGAAATATTGCTGTATTAAAAGATAAATGCTTTTTTGACACTCAATTATCAGTGCTTATGAAACAGAGGGAAAACCAGAGAGAGAGAAAGAGACAAACGACTGAAGGGGTTTAGATTGGGGTCAAGGGTTCACGGTTAATGGTAGACTGAAATACACACTTTTCCCAAGACAATCATATTCAGTCAGCCTGTTAATGGCACAACAATTCTTTGTTGTGCTAGCGCAGAATACACTAGTCCTGACAAATATCTGCCTTATGTTTGTACTGACATAGATGACCTGTAACGTAATCAAGCTGTTCGAATGTGAAAATTGGTCACATTGCTGTCGGCCATCACAGGTGTGCGCTGTGCACTTTTTTTGGTACAGCGGACAGGTGAGGAATGTGATACGGTTAAGGTGGGAGGAATGAGTCTATAAATGGATTCAGATCCACACACTCATTACAGGGGCTGGCAGGAGGTCTGGTGAACCCCGCGGAGATGACCAAGGTGGCACAGAAGGTGGCTGTGCATCTGGACATGCTGTAGGACAGTTAACACAACTATCTGCCTGGGTGTTTCATCCAATCAGATTTAGCACATGTGGCACATTGATTTAGCACAGTCACTAACTGAATTTACTTGGATTATATGACATTATTTTTTATGATTGGTATGTGTAATTTGTTCATGGGTAAATCAATGCTCCTGGTCAAAAGCAAATTAAGCTCCAGTGCCAGTATTTGTGGCAAAATGTTTGTTACCACAGAAAAAAACTTTTGACTCGTGCCATAGTTACAATAAGGCATCTATAAGTACACAGGGCCAGGTAGTAAATATTGAAATGTACACTGCTTATATCCACATTTATTGTATTTAGTATAGCCACAAAACTTATTAAATACATCTATAATATATGTTAACAGATTTAAACTTAATTTTCATGACACTGGAAAAGCTGTTATTTCTGCTGATGCAACACCAACAGCAACAATGTCTGTAAATAATTAGCTCATCTCTCACAAAAAGGATTTTAACAGCTTTACTGCTTAATAAACATTTTTATGGATGAATTAATGTAAATGAATGGACAGAAATACAAGATGCAAATTTTGACATTTAAAGGAAGATGGCATCTTTACTTTAATTGTAAGTGCCTTAACCACAAAATTAGTCTAATTAAGTAAAAATATTCAATTTGTTACATTATGTAACAAATGCTGTCAGAGCTTATAGTCAAAGTTCACCCAAAAATTAAAATTCTGGCATAATTTACTTCTCCCTCATGTTGTTCAAAACCGGTATGACTTTCTTTCTTCTGCATAGTTCTTTAGATATTTTGAACAATATAATGCAAGTAAATGGGATTTTTTTTTTGCTCACCCTCATGTGCTTCCAAACTTTTATGACATTCTTTCTTCTGTGTGATGAACATGAACATATTTTGCAGAATGTTGGTAACCATTTACTTCCATTGTATTTTTGTCCATATACATTTTTTGGTAACCATTATTCTTCCAAATGTCTTATTTCATGTTGCATATACTGTAAGACAGAAAGTCATACAGGCTTGGAACAACAAAGATTTTTATTTTGGGGTAAACTGTCAATTTAACTTGTATGCAAAACACTGAAAACTCCTTTAAGGATGCAAGTCTAGGAAAAATGCGAGAGCAGTACTCTTATTTATTTAAAAGCATTCATCAAATTTGCTTTATTTGTTAAACAAGCAAGGGATGGAGGACAAGTAGAACTTTTGTGAACAACCGGCCTTCCAATTTTACAGAAATCAGCAGAGTGCAGAATCTGTGTGGGCCTGCAAAAACCCTTCCACATGTACAGTAATTTGCATGTTCTCCATGATGAGAACATCTGATATCTCCAAGTGTGAAAATTCAAATCAAACTGGGAGGGAAAAATATCTTTGCAATCTCCTAAGTCTGAACTTGACTTGAGCAGTCGGGGTTCAGGGAATCATTTTCACCTCTGGCAGATAATGAGCAATAATTTCAGTGTGTACTTATGCTGGATCAGTGAATGTTCAGTTGGCCGGCTGCAGTCCGGATCTGAGAGGAGTGCTGGGTAGCAGACTTTCGAGCAGATGATGGTCTGGAATGGAGATGATTAGCTCTCTGTGGGGTACTGAAAAGCTTGGGAGAGCAGGACAGAACATCCTCGCCAATTACGCTACACCTGCTCACAGGTGGTCCGGAATAACTGATCCCACTGCTTGGAAGAACTGCATGTGTCTCTGGAAAGCTCTTAATTCTGAAGCTGCCACTTTTGTTGGTCTTATTGTTTCTTACACAGTGTGCGATAATGTGTCTATTTGCAGTAACTTTTCACAAAATAATAATAATAATAATAATTCAAAACGTATATGTTTGTCTTGCTTTGCAGTAAAACATTAAATGATCCTAAAATAGATAGTCTTAATTGAAAAGAAAAATGGTGTGAGATAATCAGATTTGTATGGAAACTTGTTTATGGCATGGACTGTTTTCCTCACAATTCTGAGAACGATATGGAGATATTAAGTCATAATTGTGAGATAAGAAAAGTAAAAATTTGAGATATATATACTCGCAATTAGGAAAAAAAAAGTAAAAAAAAAAAAATGTGAGTTAATATTCGGAGTTTATAAACCGCAAATCTTTTTCTCAGAATTGCATAATATAAACTCAGAATTGCGAGAATAAAAGTCCGAATTGAGATAAAGTCACAATTTTTTTAATCCTGTGGCAGAAACAAGCTTCCATAGATTTATTTTCAGAAAATGTCTTGAAATTATTTTTCAGTCTGCCAGTTGGCCTTCTTGTTTTAAGCATACACCTCACTAAATTCTGTTATATGTATGAATTAAATAAAATATGAATAAAAATAAAATAAACAGTCAAATAAAATAAAATAATAAAATAAAATAAAATAAAATAAACGTAATTCATGATATTTCAACAGCTTTACTTATAACATATTAAAATGTATATATTGTTTTAAGAATGCTTTAAGGATGTTTGTACTGGAAACCAAGAAAAAATATTGTGAAAATATTTTTGTGGTGCAACTGACATGTTACCCTTATAACCAGTTAATGAACAAGGGAGGTTTTCAGCATACTGATGATTCCCCCAAGTACACATTGTGCTCTTAATAAGGGAGAAAATGTGAAATGTGATAGAAAATTCCTTTTTCCGTCCCAAAAAAGAGAAAGAGGAAGTAGTAAATGTAATTATCACATAGCATGACAGCTTCTGAACCCGGGCGGTATAACAGTACTGTTATTTACTCACGGGCTCAGGAACTTCGCAGCTCTCTCGCACTCCAAAACTCACTCTTTTTTCAGTACTCTTCCAATGTTCCGCTGTCTTTCAATCTCCGCCAGTCATATCGACACATGCCGAGTAGATACTTGAATCTGTACAGCACTTTAAGTCTTCAACTCGCCTCAACTCACAGTTTCCATGGTTACGGGCTGGGAGGAATTGAAGACTGAAAATGACATACAGGTGACTGGTGTCTCCTCCGACAGGCAAAACTAGTTTCTCCAAGTCTTCATCTCCGGTCTTACCACAAGCAATTGTTTGGAGCAGAAGCTTAAACCCATACAGAAGAGAACTGCACAGATATTACAAACACAACCTGTTCACATGTACACAAGTTCAGAAATAATAATAAAATGTGCATCTTGTATCAGTTCGATCATAGAAGAGGTGCTTCTTTGAAGGAAAAGTTTCTTTGAAAACTTTCTACTACTTTCTTCCAACATACTCTTACACAATCCTTGAACAAACACAAAAACTACAGCATTGAAAGATTACATTTACTCAAATGGTTTGTGCATTCTTCCAAACACTTGAACATAATTGCATGCATAACTATTTGACTGTTTTATCCAGCCATAAACTGCTGGAATACAAATCAGCCATCAAAGCTGCATGGGATGGAGTTAAACAGCCATTGTAAAAAAATGATCCATAGATAAAGTAAATGATGCTGAAAAAAATCAATAATTTACTTTATTGAATTTTTTTCGATTTCAGGAAAACAAGTAATGCATCTCAAAGCTGCTTTTATATTACATTATATTCTGATTTTTAAAGTCAAACTGACAAACTTAGCAGGTTAGTTGAATTAATGCATTTTTACCTCAAATAGGATGGAAAAACGGTTTTGTGATTCAGTCCCATTTTCTCTCTTCCCAGCATGCGGAAGATTAAGCTTGAGTAATCAATATGGTTGCATTGTTTGGCCATTAGCCAGTTTATTTCACATCATTGAAGCTGATTTTTCATCAACTTAAAATGATCAGTTATTTGTAAGGTTTACAGCATTTCATGTGTGTTCACGTCATGAGTATTCATATGCTGTTTTCAATAATTTAGCACTTTGCTCTCCACAAAATGTACATTCCATATAGAAATGTAGGAACATAACAATTTAAAACCGTGTAAATAAAGGAAAAAGTGTACACAGAACACATTTCAATCTCATACTTAAAGGGATAGATCACCCAAAAATGAAAACTCTCATCATTTACTCACCTTTATGTATTCCCAAACCTGTCTGACTGACTTGTTTCTGTGCAATGATAACCAACTGATAACCAAACATACTTCCAATATATGGACAAAAAGAGATATTTAATGTTCTACAGAAGAAAAAAGGTCATACATGTTTGGAATCACATGAGGTTCAGTAAATAATGACAGAATTTTCATTTTATGGTTGAACTATTCCTTTAAGAAACTTTAATATATGTGACCACAAAACCAGTCATAAGTCGCACAGGTATATTTGTAGCAATAGCCAACAATATATTGTATGGGTCAAAATTATCGTTTATTATTCTTTTATGTCAAAAATCATAATAGCATATTAAGTAAAGATCATGTTCCATGAAGATATTTTGTAAAATTCCTACCGTAAATATATCAAAACTTAATTTTTGATTATAGTAATATGCATTGCTAAGGACTTCATTTGGACAACTTTAAAGGCAATTTTCTCAATATTTAGACTTTTTGCACCCTCAGATTCCAGATTTTCAAATAGTTGTATCTCAGCCAAATATTGTCCTATCCTAACAAAGGATTATTTACTCAGCTTTCAGATGATGTATTCATCTGAATTTCCCAAAAATTTATCCTTATGACTGGTTTTGTGGTCAAGGGTAATATATAATTTCAATTTGTGGCATCTTGACATTTTAAAGTTAAGTCAGTACATTTGCGTAAAAAAAGCAGATGAATTTAACTAATAAGAAATGTTGCCTTCAGTTTTTGCCTTCAGTTCATTTTTTTTCAGTATAAAAGGAAAAAGATGAGCAGAAGGGAGGTTGGAGCTTATCAGCAGAGTACAATTCAAAACTGATTCAAAACCAGTGAAAGAAAAAGTCAAATCCTTGTTCCGTTCCTGTCCCCAATGAAAAACTGAACCTGAGAACCTGATTTTAATATTACATCTTAATGAAATTTTCAAATGGTAGTTTAAATAATATGGTCTGTGGATGTCAGCCTTGTAATTTTTCAATACATAACCCATAAAAGTTTATAATTTAATATATAATGGCCTGACTAGATGAATTGAGTGGCCTTGATAAAATCTTATGAAGTTAAGATATTTATAAAATTTTCCCTTCTTATTTGTTTCAGCCCAGGTTTTGGACCAAAAAAACAAGTTCCCCAAGCATAACACAGTCCCTATATTTCACATTCAAAGGTGGCTTTGTACATACTTGTCAACGGCAGAGAAATAAATGACTATAACTAATTAGTTTGTGTGATCTGTGCTGTTAAATACATTTTAAAATAAGATGTCGATAATGTGCTTTTGGGAATGACACCCCAACTGAAAAATATGCTAAATATGAGAGAACTCAAGCGATCCTGCAGTCAAGTGTGTTCTTATAAAGAAAAACGTGAGATAATTTTTGTTAAAGACTAAATATAGCAATTAATTAAATGAGCTCATTATAAAAATACAGTAGCAACAAAAGTATATTGACACTTAAGCCATGCTTAAATTGAATTTACAGCAACTAAGCAGGATTAAACTGTTTAACCTTTCTCAAAACTGATTTTCTTAGTCACTGTTGCAACCACTGGTGACTCTGAAGGTCATTTTCAGCTCAACACACTTATTTTTGTAAAATGTTTAGCAAAAAAAGTATGTGCTTTCTTGCAATTACATTCATTTTTAAGTGTGACTTAAGCATTCAAATGTATAAAAGCATGTGCTGCATTTGCATGCAAATAAACTAACGCAAATATCACATGTAATATAATATTCATATCATAGCCATCCACTATAGGTTGATCATACGTAATCTTTTTCCCAGACAAAATGGCCAGGTTTAGGCTGTGTTTTCCTAGCGTTTTCATTGTTGCTGAAGATGCTGACTGAAAAGTAGTTTGACCAATAGCGTGCAGGCTATTGGCCAAACCACTAGGACATATTCAGGAAAAAGAGGACGTATAGTCACCCTACGTTCACTGAAGGTCAAACAAGCATCTTTACACACTGATTGAATGGCAGTTAAAACAGTTTTTCTGTTGGCACCCACCTGTTTGTTCATGAAGATGTATATGATGGGGTTTATGACAGTGCTGCTCTTGGCTAACAGCGAAGGAACGATGCTGGCCGCTGCCGTGACCAGGCCGGGACGCCCGAACGTGGCCAGCAGGGCCATAACCCCATAGGGCAGCCAGCAGAGCAGGTAACACACCACCATGGTGACCACCATGAAGAGAACACGCTGCTCCCGCTTTCGACTCACCGCCGTATTGATCCTGCTCATCTTTGTGATTTTGATGAGGGAAAAGAAGAGGAAAGAAAAATAATTAAGATCTGAGAAACATGGCATCACACTGGGCAGCTGCGTCACTTTAGCGAAAGTAATAAAACTGTACATGCAGACATTCACAGATTAAATGCCTCATTGAACGTTTAGCATATAGCTTCAGGCCAGCTGGGCAGAAATGGATACAGCCATGAAATCGATCGCTCTGGTCTGTAATAGACCCTTAAACACAACAATGGGCGAACAGAAGGTTCATTACACGATGTAGAATTGCCTACTGAGCATGATGCACCATTTTCTCAGTGTTGTAGCACTTTGTCTGACGGCTGCTAAGTGCTTTTTTGGTGTAGGCACCCAAGAGCTGAGAGTTGCTACTTTGGTTGAACTTTAGTCCCTGAAGTTTGGTGCAGTGGTGTTCATGCAGTGTCATTTCCTCTCAGACTTCAATGTGTATGTGGAATAAACTCACTTCAAAAAGTCATTTTCTTTATCATCTCTTCCAGAATTTCTATGGAATAACAAACTTATACACCAGTGTTCAGAAGTTTGGGGAGTTTTCTTTAATGAAATTAAAAAAATTATTTGAAAAAATGAAAAAAGACATTTATAATTTTGCTTAATATTTCTATTTCAAATAATTGCTTTTATTTTTAATTTACTATTCAAAGATTCTTAAAAAAAAGCTACATGGTTTCCACAAAAATAGTAAGCAGTGCAATTGTTTTCAGCATTTATTATAATAAGAAATGTTTCTTGTGCAGCAAGTCAGCATATTAGAATGATTTCTGAAGGATCATGTGACACTGAGGACTGAAGTAATGATGCTGAAAATTCAGCTTTTCCATAGCAGGAATAAATTACATTTTAAAATACATTTTAAAAATATACTAACATAGAAAGCATTTATTTTAAATTGTAATAATACAATTACATTTAAATTGTGAGAATATTTCACAATATTACTGCTTTACTGTATTTTTGATTAAATAAATGCAGCTGGTGAGTATAAAGAAATGTTTCTTGTGCAGCAATCCAGCATATTAGAATGATTTCTGAAGGATCATGTGACACTGAGGACTGAAGTAATGATGCTGAAAATTCAGCTTTTCCATAGCAGGAATAAATTACATTTTAAAATACATTTTAAAAATATACTAACATAGAAAGCATTTATTTTAAATTGTAATAATACAATTACATTTAAATTGTGAGAATATTTCACAATATTACTGCTTTACTGTATTTTTGATTAAATAAATGCAGCTGGTGAGTATAAGAAACCTCTTTTAAAAACATTTTAAAAATCTTACAGACCCCAAACTTTTGAACAGTAATGTATATAAAATATAAACATCCCTAGTTAAAAACATGTCTACCAGTATTACCTGTGATAGTCTAACCAATGTGCTACTTTGAACTGGCACAAATTAACATTTTAATCTATAAATGAGAAGCATTTAACACACAGTTTGGTCCCACATCAGAAATTACCTAACAAATTAATTTTGTTTCTTTGTTTTAAGAGTAAATAGAGTAAATTCACTATATTTTGTTAGAAAATGGGGTACAAAAAATAACATTTAATTCAAAATATGTTGAAAACAAGTAATAATATCTTCAACATTTAAGCTTTAAACAAGTACATTTATCTTCTTTTAAAGGACGTTTACTCAATATTTCAAGGTTTTTTTCTTTACTGGAAAACAAGGCAAAAATACTCACACCTAAATAAGTGTCTATACAAGTGAAATTAATGAAGATGGATGAAAAAAGAGAGAAAGTATGGAATGGAAAGTAGCCCCATTAAAATGGGAATAATTCACCTCTACTTTAAGCCACATTTTCTCTCATAAAACTTAATGATCAGAGTCATACAGTGCTTTGAATTATATCCTATACTTTAAATTATAACATGAACACATGTCTTCCTCATGGGTCTGTACTTCTAGTATGTAATGACTGAAGCCCTGCACCCAGAGGATCAAAACTGTGCTTTGACTAAGAGCTAATTAAGAGCAATGGAGTGGAACAAGTGTGGCCCTTTCCTCACAGGCGGTCCTTGCAAGACACCCTCGTTTCCACCGTCCACCTTGAGAAGAAGCCGCAACTTGACAAATTATTACTTAGCAGAATGTCAGATCAGTGTCAAGTTGCTAATAGGCTCCCCATTGAGTTGTGCCACAGTTTTCTGAGTCTTTTTTTAGCGGTCACATTAAAAATGAGTCCTATATGCAGAGAAGGGCAACACTCAGGGGTGCAGGCTGTGAATAACACGGCCTGCAAGGTGTGAAGGCCTGCGGGGGTGTAAAGTCATGGCGGCAGACATCACCAGAGGCCACAGCCAGCGGCACATCTGCGGACGCACTACCAATTAAAAGTGAGGAGAAGATGTGACGGCTGTTTGAGATGCAACGCCGAGGTGGGTGGACAAAAAAAGGGCAGTTTATACCCCTGCAAGACGTCCACAACTTCCACCCAATTGAAGTTTGATTGACAGGTGGAAACTTCACGGTCACATTAAACACAGGATGCCAAGTAGAGACGACTGAAGACGGACAACCTCAGATGTGAATCACAATAGGAGACAGTCTGTGTAGGTGTGTGTCCGCTTTCCGTAATCCTCAAATGAATTCCAGTAATTACAGCACAACTCCTGATGAAACATTATTGCTGGGGAATAGCAAATATAAGCAGTTATTTAAAAGTGCCGAGATGCTAAATGGATTAAACAAATAAACTGTGAAATAGGACAGAAAATAAGCTTTGGGAACATTATAATAATCACACAGAGTGTGAAAGCATATGCTCAATCAGCGTTCAAAACCTTATTAGCATAAATAAACAATTTGTTTTCCTCTGAGAGACCAGATTGAATAGATTAACAACTAAGATACACCAAAATCTGATGACATCCAGAGCTGTCAAACTTCTAAAACGCACCTGGAGAGTCGCAAACTTCAAGAGTCCACACAGGTTGCATCATTAGAGCAGGCGAGTACATGTAAAGCCATACGTTTTGTGGTGGTGTTGTGGTAATGAGACTCTCCTCTCTGGGTGCATGTGAGCCCTGCAGTCAGAAGGTGGCAAACCCAGCAGGACGAAGCGCTGTGAAGGAGATGCTAATGCGCGTGGCAGCTCCTGTGGCTGTCAAAGAGTGTTTGGTCAGGGAGGATCCCTCGGGTATGTGGGTAGGTGGATGTGAAACATTATGTGGCTAGGAAGATTCTGAAAGCCGTGTGGCTGCGATCACAGCTGAGACCTTTAAACTTAACTTTGTTTCTGGAGATCTCACTCTGGTCTTCTCTGATACTGGAAAAACAACAGTCTCCATTAGAAAAAGAAATGTCTGTCAGCAGTCAGGGGAACGTGGGTAAATCTTTCAGTTCCCTGGTGAACCTGATATTCTGCTGATCTGGTGGAGGGTTAAATTCTAAAGACTTAAGCAAGTTTTTTTTTTTCTTAAAAGTTTTTTCTAGACTGCCGAATCTTTAGAGTCACTGTAAGAGAGATGTGAACATCAGTTCGTGGTCAGTGTTGAATGTGATGAAACTTTTCCAGAAAATGGTAAGAAATGTCTTTCTATCAAGTTGTGAGCTGCATGTAAAAACAAACAAGTCCTACCAGTGTAGTATGATTCACAAACAAACGAGCTGGTTCTTTTTGGTGAATCAAAAACATGCAGTGAGACCAGTGAAGCCTGATTTCTGAAACAAATGATTCCAACGAGTGGCTTCTTTTGAAACATAGTTTAAAAGGCAAGTTTCCAGTAAACACTGCCCTGTATAATTTTCAGTATTAGCAAAGAGGCTGAGATTGAGAGCTTCTTGATCAAAATCAAATCGAATCAGGACATTAGGGTTGCAAAGGGGTGGAAAATTTCCAGAAACTCTCCGAAAAGTCCTGAAATTGTCTGAAAGTTTCCAAAAATCCCAGAAAGTTTCCAAAATTTATGTAAAGTTTCGGAAATTTTCGAGACTGAGAGCTTCTTAATCAAAATCAAAACTAATCAATATTAGGGTTGCAAAGGGGTGAACATTTTTTGAAAAATCTCAGAAAAGTCCCAAAATTGTATGAAAATTTCCCAAAAATCCCTGAAAGTTTCCACAATTTCTGTAAAGTTTCAAAAAAATCTAAAATTAATTTTTGCCTTTATTATTACTTTAGGACAGTATTCAGACAGGAAGCGAAGTGGGAGAGAGAGGGGTACAGAATTGGGAAAGGTCCACTAGTCGGGACGCCCAAAGCACAACATTGGTGCCCACGAGGCTATTGGCACCAACCTTTTTGCAACCTTAATCAATATTGAGCCTTATAAATGGTCATGAATCCTGTCTATACATATACAATATTACTAATTTCATACAAGAAGCCATTTGCTACCAGTCTAAAAAAACAATAGTTGAACAGTTTATAAAGACAAAGTCTGAATGAAGTTCATGCTCAGTTATTATCATCAAATCATTTCTCGCATGCTATTGTTGGCAAATTACAGTAACCTCACATCAATTATGAAAACGGATGCATCTGTTTGATGATAGAAATGTAGTCATGAAATAAAAATAGCAATAATTTGGAGACTGAACAGCGGGCCCACACACAATCTGCACCCACAGAAGATTCACAGAACTGGAACACCCTTCATTCACAAAGTTCTACACATCCTCCAACCCTTTCATGCTTGATTATTACAGATTCGGGCTAATTTGATTATGTTTTCAGCTACCAATTATAGAGTAGTACTCCGATTAGCACATTTTACCATGCTTAAATCCATTCTGCAGATTTCCCCATAAATCAACACAGAAAATAATCCCCAGATCCCCTCTGGGCCTGTTAATCACTAAAGCCTATAATGGGAAATTTTATTTGTCAATAAAACTTTGACATTTATGACATCGGCATTACAAATACGCCATTACAAATATTTTCCTGTGCATCCCCACAGGACCCTCTTTAAGAACCTCTGCCCTACATTTTACTTAATAAGAACAGAGAAG